AGTTCTGTTGTCAAACAGAACTAATCAGGTCCAGGTGGAGGTCCAGGTGGAGGAGGTGGCTGAGTGTGCGGCAGAAGGAGTGGAGGAGTCTCAGTGTGTCTGCAGAGACTGTGTAGAAGGACAGAGCAGCAGCAGAGCAGTCCAGATCCACTGATGATACTCTGTCACATCCAGAGGAACACACAGGGAGGATGGTGGGAATCGAACAGTAGGTATTGGTCTGTGTGTGTGGGTTTCCTGTCCTCTTCAGTGTGTACAGCGCAGTCCAGGAAGGCCAAACTGTTGTTGTGAACATCTTCTCGTGTGAACTTGATGTTACTGTCCACAGAGTGGATGTGTTCTGTGAAGGCTTTTAATTTTGACCCAGGTGTCGTCCACATATCTGTACCAGTGGCTCGGTGCTGTTCCTCTGAAGGAGTTGAGGGCTTTATTCTCCACTTCTTCCATGTAGATGTTTGCCACAATCGGGGATACCGGTGAGCCCATGGCACAGCCATGCTTCTGTCTGTAGAATCCTCCGTTGTACTGGAAGTAGGTGGTGTTTAGACCGATCTGGTCAGGGCTGAGGCTGGTTCTGTTGTCCAGGTCTTGTAGTAGCCGTATCCTTATGGTTTCTACTGCTTTATTTACAGAGACTCCCTTCATCAGCTGTCAGTCAGTGATGCAGCACATCCAGTATAAAGACCAGCAGGGACTTCAGTCCTGTTCAGAGCAGAAGTGGAGCGGCTGTGTAGCGCAGCCAGCTTCCTTTCAGCTCTCACATTTAAGAGTAGGCTTAAGACTTTCCTCTTTGATAAAGCTTATAGTTGGGGCTGACTCATGATTTTTAATATTTAATCACATTAACAATTATATTTCTATAATATGTAATATAATATTCTTAATGTAAGAGGAATAGCAACTTTTATCCACCAGGGGAAAATGTTATAAAGGAGGGGAATAAACTGCACTGTTACTGTCATCAACTCTCATCCATACATATGTTCTAGTGAAAATGAGAGAAAGAAAATGAATGCAAGTTAACTGGTAGCCTGTGATCCTGAAAGTCTATAAGCTCCTGATGTATGTTAGAGTTTTACACCTGGCAACATTTTCTCAACACAGACAGGAGGAGGCAACAGGATGTAAGTTTAAATGTTCAGTGACTGAAGGTCTTGAGAGGACGACGTTCTGTCTTCCATAAAGGCCCTTTCAGAAAAGAAGCGGTTTGCACTGTGTGGAAGCAGCTCAGCGCTAAAGTTCAACTCGCTGTGCGGTGCACGTTGCTCGACGCAGCAACAAACCAAGCAACTGAAAATAATGGGTATTATAGCGCAGCGGTGCTGTCGTTGCGTTGGTCTAAAACTTTACACCTGCATGGTTTGTTGCACTGAAAGCTCGACTCTCACAGCAGCGGCATTGATTATAAGTGACATTGTGAGTGTTATATTTAATTCCCTACCAACTTGCTATGTCATTAAATAAAATGAATTAGGCCTACCTTTACTTGGGTAGGTTTTGTGGAGCCTTTACGATTAATTAACTGTAACTTTTTAAAGTGCAGTTAATAGTGAAATCTGTTAATCGCTGCATCCCTAGCTGTTAGGGCTCAAAGCTGTTAAAAACCAGCGGCTCAGTCACATTTGAAGATTTCTTCTACTTTTGAAATATTACAGGACAAATCTGTAAATATGGAGTCCGTTCTAAAAACATCTGGACCAAACTGAAGACACATGGACAGACATATATATATGATGTTAAAGGTCCTACATGTTCATACAAAGACTGAACAGCTAAACATCAGCTGTGCTTAATGGACTTCAGGTTCTGGTCTGTAGAAAGACCACATGGTTACTAAATGTAATGATGGTTCTCTGAAATAAGAGCCAGTGATTTGCAGGCTTCAGTCAGACTGATCTCAGAGCTGTGACAAAGATGAACTGATCAGTAGTTTAGTATTGAAATGAGAGAACAAACACTTTGAGATCAGATTTGATGGTCCGGCAGTTTGATGAATGAGGACCACTGTCTCTATACATCTTGTGATGCTGTCAGCTGGAATCCAGCTTTATTTCCTGGAGACATGAACACAACAACAACAGTCGTCTTCACATCAACTCAAACACATGATCACTGCCTGTTCTCTCTCTCTCTCTCTGTCTTTCTGTCCAATCCTGAAGCCTGTCACCATTCTCCTCTCACAGCTTCACTGAGGAAAGCAGCTGCTGAGAAGGTTGGAGGTTTACAGGAAATACTGGATCTCTGCTTTGATACTAACTGTGTTTAGTACAATACTGCTGAAACCAGCATGGACTGACTCCAACCCTCTACTGACCTCAGAGTCTCCAGAGTCTCCAGTCTGCAGTGTGGGCTCTCCTTCAGATCAGACAGCAGCTTCACTCCTGAAACCTGCAGGTTGATGTTCCAGCTCAGGTCCAGCTCTCTCAGATGGGAGGGGTTGGACTTCAGAGCTGAGTCCACGACTTCACAGTGAGGCTCTGAGAGTCCACAGTCACCAAGTCTGTGATGACAGAGATTATAAAATTTAAAATATAATAAAATCTGACACTTTATTATAAAAACAGACTCTATGCATTTTGTATCACAAAGCACATTAACATGAGCGGCTGCAGCTCAGCTGCTCAGCCATTGATCACAAGGTTTGTGGTTTGAAACTTGAGCTCCTGTCCCAAGTGTCCTTGAGCAACATAATGAACCACATTATTACTGCTTTGGACAAAAGAATCTGCCAAATGACGGTAAGTAAGTCAGTAAAGTTTATTTGTATGGCACCTTTCACAGAAGAAAATCACAAAGTGCTTCACTATAAAATGTAATATAATACAACAAAGTAAAGTAAGAAAATTTAAATACAAATGGAAAACACAGAACACAAACCATAAAAACTCCGCGTCTAACTAAAAGCCTGCTTGAATAGCAGAGTCTTCAGTTGTTTTTTAAAAGAATCAACAGAATTCACACAACATAGAAAGGTAGGCAAAGCATTCACAGCCAAGGTGCCACTGCTTGGAATGATTGATCTCCTCTGGTTTTAAAATGAGTGTAGGGAACCACTAACAACCTCTGACCTGATGACCTCAAACTACGGGTCGGAGTGTGAAGCTGGATCAAGTCAGAGATGTAGGGAGGAAGCAAGCAGTGAGTGGTAGCGTTAAAGAAACGGATGTTTCTGGTTACGGAGTCACCAATTATTAGTGTGGTTGGGGAGAAAAGAGGACGAGGAGATGCCGGTTGTGGAGTTCCATCTGCTTCAACACTGCGTGCGGACTGAGGATGGAGTGTGTGAGCTGTTGAGTGTTGTGTTGGAGTAGCAGTAACAGACCTGAGAGAAGGGCTACCCGACGGTGCAGGGTGGAGACGGCCTCCGGAGCGTCTGAGCACAGCCTCCTTCAGGATCCTAAGTCGGGAAGCGGAGGTTTTTGACCGGGATGACGGCCGCCGATCAGGCCCAGCGGCAGACCGGCGGCCCAGTGCAGGAGATGTAGCCGGTGGAGGAGATGCAACAGTGTCGGCAGGTACTGTGCGCCAAAAGAGATCCGTATCAGGGAGACTCGAAGCCGCAGGTGCATCTGCTGGATGGACCGGAGTGTCGTTAGACAAGGCTGCATAGCGGTTGGAGAGGCCGATGTGCGGAGGACAGGCAGCCCCATCCGAGCCTCTCTTGCAGCCACGGATCTGCAACCACTTCAGCCCAGGTTGACTGATGCTTCGGAGTCGAGCAGAAGGAAAGCCGTGGAAGACTAGAGGGGTCCCAAAACACGGTGTCCTGGATGTTAGCGGTTGCGCTGAGAGAAACAATCTGTTTGGCTTGTACTGAAGCTACATCCATAAAGCCAGTCAGCAGGGAATCTTTCTTTTTGAGTTTCTCTGAAAGTCGTCGGATGTCTTCCATAAGGTCAGCAATCTTTTTGTTCGCTTTCTTAAGGAGTGAGCAGTCCTCATGGGGCAGAGTTATCTCGGCCAGCACAGTCACCGGAGCTTTGTTGTGGTCAGTAGCGTTGATGGTGCTTTTACAGTCATCTAGCTTGAAATCCATGTCGGATGACTAAGTTAAAAACTCAAGTTAAATAAAAAGGATATAAAACATATAACGAAAAAGTGTGGATTAAAACTGGATAAGAGTCTGGTTTAAGACGGAGCGTCCGACAGGTGGCTACAGACGCCGCTGAGTACAGATTACGTCAGCAAGCCTCGCAGAAGAGTCCTGACCAGCCTGGAGACGGTAAAGCTCCTTCTTGCTCAAACAAGTAAAACGACAGTTACAGTAATCTAAAGGAGAGGAAATAAAAGCATGAATGATCATCTCCAACTCACCCTTTGACACCAGTGTTCTTAATTTTGATATATTCCTTAGTTGGAAGAAACAGTTTCTAAGCTCCTGAGGTTCAGCTGGACAGACGAGCCTAAATCACCAATATGTTGTTTAATCTGAGGGATTCTACTTTCAGGGGCGATAATCAGTTTTTCTGTTTCCTCTGAGTTCAGAAGCAGGAAGTTGTCACAGAACCACTGTTTAATAGGGGTCAAGCAGTTAGTTAAAGAATACAATTTATGGAACTCAGTTTCCTTGAACGAGCAGTACAGTTGAATATCATCTGCACGCTGCTACTCAAGCAGGCTTTTAGTTAGACGTGGAGTTTTTATGGTTTGTGTTCTATGTTTTCCATTTGTATTTAAATTTTCTTATGCATTGTATTTTACTTTGTTGTATTATATTACCTTTTATTGTGAAGTACTTTGTGATTTTTATCTGTGAAAGGTGCCATACAAATAAACTTTACTTACTTACTTACTACTTATTTTGGCTCATTGTCCTACTGCATGATAAACTTCCTCCCCATTAGTTTCAATGCATTTCTCCATAAACTGGCAGACAAAATGTTTCTGTCCACTTCTGAATTCATTCTGCTGCGACCATCATCAGTTACTTCATCAATAAATATTAATGAGCCTGTTCCTGAAGCAGCTATGCAGGCCCAGGCCATGACATGACCCCCACCATGCTTCACAGATGAGCTTGTTTGCTTCGGATCATAAGCACTTCCCTTCTTTCTCCACACTTTGGCTTTTCCATCACTTTGCTAGAGATTAATCTTGGTCTCATCAGTGCATCAGATCGTGTTCCAGGACTTTTGCGGCTCATCTCTGTGCTTCTTTGCAAATTTCAATCTGGCCTTCTGATTCTTCCTGCTGATGAGTGTTTGCATCTTGTGGTGTGGCCTCTATATTTCTGCTCTCTGAGTCTTCTTCCAACAGTGGATTGTGATACCTTCACCCTGTACTGTGGAGGTTGTTGCTGATGTCACTTACTGATGTTTTGGGGGGTGCTCATTTTCATGTGAACTTTAGGTCGGGGCTTTGACCTCAACTTCCCAGTTGCCAGTATTCCTCATTTTGTGTTCTGTAAAACCGGATCTGTTAGTGTGGTTTGGACATGAAGTAGCATATGTCAAAAAGTCTTATTCTCATTCTTAGGAGGTCACTGCTGAGGTCGCTGCTGGGCTGAGAACAGACCTCCCTGCTAACTTGCTAACCCTCTGTTTTCCTTCACAGGTTCCACCTTTGCTTTGTTTCTAGATATGCTGTTTTAGTTGTAGTTATTGTTTCTTGCACATTACAACACTCTTACACACATTTCCATGCATCCATCATCCCACCCTGACATGACTGATACCACTAATGTTCATATTTTATCACCTTTACTTTGGCACCAGCCTTAATTTGGTTCATTTTGGTTTAAACAAACATATTTTGATAAGCATCTACCATGGTGTGTCTCCCTTTTGTTGTGGCCTTCTGAGCCAGGTCATAACAGGTGGTACTCCCCCCCGATAATACCGGGCAGCGGAGGGTGCAGGGGGACGGGGTTGAAGATGTCTCGGGGGTTTCGGTGGAAAAGAAGGAGGAAGTGGCGACGAGACTCACGTCACATCCCCAAATGGATCGTCTGTAAAGCTGGAGGCAGAAAGAAACTCAGAATGTGTGAAATATAAGTTTATCGATTAAAATAATTATCACTGTAAGATGTGTGAATCTAATAAATATCTATCTCAAATTTAGGATAAAGTTTCAAGAAACAAGTGGACTGTGATATATTAAGTTTTTTAAATGTTGTTTCTGTGAAAATTTAAGGTAAAAAACCTCTTAAAATATGCAAAATAACATTATGGGTGAGCATAATTTGGGGTTATTTATGGGATATATTAATATTTAAAAACAGATTAAGAGCTTTTAATGGATTTTCTGCATGTGTAAAGTTTGAATCCCTGAAAAATGTTTTTAACATAATATTTTAATGCATTAATTATCTTCTAGCCACAGTGATCAATAAAGTTGTGCATTCAGAGGTCCAATCCAAATATGGGATAAAGAAATGTGTAAATTAATGTGTGCATGGATTACAGGGTTTTAAAAACCCTTATACTGTACAAATAATTGATTGATTGATTGAAATCTTTATTTCGAACATGGAAGAAAAAGTTTATAAAAAATAACAATAAAAAATAAATAAAATAAAACAATGTTTAAAAACATAGGAGAAAAACAACAACAACAACAGATGAGCAGCAAACAAAGTACCCTTCTTTCCTGTGTTAACATACTTCTATCACATGTGTGAAAAGTAGTAGGAAGAAGTAAAACTTGTGTACTCCGAACCCTTTAATTCTTACATTCCTTCAATTTACAATATTTATATTTATTATTATGTTGTGTTATATATATACACACATACTTTTTTTTTCCATATACACAATATTAAAGTGACCACTGACAAGTATTTATTTATCTAACCTCGATTATGTACTTATTCAAACAGCAAAAAATACAACAACAAAAGAAAACAAACAAAGGAGCACTCCTACTTTTACTACAGTGCTTCTCGATACCTCCTGAAAATAATTTCTTTGTACATTTTTTTGAAAAGGAATATGTTTGTTGGCATTGCTTGAAGTTGTCATTTAGTTTGTTTAACTCCGCATATTGATAAACATAATCTTTTCCTTGTTGTTCTAGATCTATTAGTCTTAAAATTTCCCCTTTCCCTTAAATCGTACCCTCCCTCCCTCTCAGAGAACATCATTTGTATATTCCCAGGGAGTAGGTTATTTCTTGTTTTGAACATGAATACTACAGTTTGATATTCAATTAGATCATGGTATTTTAGAAATTTAGACTGTAGAAATAATGAATTTGTATGATCCCGAAATCCGACGTTGTGAATGATTCTCATGGCTCTTTTTTGCATTATGATTAGTGGCTGTAGTGAATGTTGATGAGTGCTTCTCCAAACCTCTACACAGTAATCAAATAAGGTAACAATAGTGAGCAGTACAGGATGTGAAGTGATTTAAGATCCAGAAAGTGCTTGGCTCTTGCAATACTTCTGGACAGTTTGGTTTTGATGTGTTTTATGTGAGGTTTCCAGTAAATCTTGTCATCTGTGATCACTCCAAGGAATTTATTTTCATGGACTCTTTCTATGTTAACACCCTCTATCTG